TTAGTGATCCAAATTTGGGGTCATTTATTCAAAGGATTCCCAAGTTACAGGGCCCCCACCAAAAAAAAACTCATTTCTTTCTGCTGCCTTGTACTGTTAAACTGAGAGGTGCTAATGCCTCGATAACTCACAGATTTCCTGATGGCTGTGAACTCACCTTTCAGTTAACACAGATAAGGATCACAAGACCCCACCAAAGACAAAAGGAGTTTTTAACTGAGGCCAGGTCTTCTTAAGACACGTCTACACTGGCAGAGTTACATTGCCGGCAGTTACATTGCCGCTCAGAGAGCACTGAAAGGAAACAGCTGTTGTGTGTTCACACTGACAGCTGCCTGCACAATAGTGTGTTCACAGTTGCGGCACTTGCAGCGGTATTTGGCGCGGTGCACTCTGGGCAGCTATCCCACAGAGCAGCTCTTCCTCGTCTGCTGCTAAGTGTTGTGGGAAGGTGGAGGGGGTCTCAGGGCATCCTGGGTCCTGTCCCAATGCCCTGTGATGAGGAAAGTCCCTCATCTCGCTGTCCCACCACTCCTTCAATTCTTGTTTTTCAGCAGTGGAGTGCATCATGACATCACGCAGAAAGTCCTCTTCTTCATGGCCACTTTCTAATTCTGCACAGCCATTCATCCGGGGATAACTAAGAGGGAGGCTGGGCTCCCAGGGTCATATATGTGAAGCCAAAATGCAAAATTTTACAGAAGCAGTATTGTTTGCAACACACAGAGCACTGATTCAGTGATTTAAAACACACTCACTATTCACATATCTGTCACTAACTGGCTGACCCCAGGCAAGCACACATGAGCCACAAGACCCCCAAAATGGTAACTGCAGGATATGGGGAAATCAGTGTTCCAGGACTGTACTGTACACTGAGCACGTGGCTCTGGGGGAGAGCCAGCACTATGGGGGGGCCTTATAATCATTACTGTCCCCACATTTTCCACAGACTGTATTCATTATGGAAGGTATCTCACTGCTGAGGGTGAGCAGGGAATCAAGGGAGGATCTTCTCCAAGACTGCGGCTTCCACCCTCGCCCTTCTGCAGCTCGCCTGTGTGCAGCAATGGTTCCCCCTTTCCCCCTCCAGTGATGGCAGAGTGGCATGGGAAAGTTACCCTTAATGGAGCAAGAAACAAAGCAACTCTGCCAAAGAACCTGCAGCAGCGGATTGCCCAGTATCTCCATGAGAGTTTCCTGGAGATCTCTGAGGCAGATTCCCATGAAGTGAGAGAGTCAATCAACACCCTGTTCTGCCACTCGGACTAGGCATGTGGTGGTACACACATCATACAGACACAAGCCTGCTTTCTGCAACCCTCCTGCCCCCAACAACTTGCTTCAGCGATTCCCAAAATCAAAGCCATTTACCAGGGGCCTCCCCTCCTGTTTGTGCTTCTCCAAGCTCTGACAGCTGTGACTGGCTAGCCTCCTCCGGGGTAGAGAAGAGCTCCTGGCTGCATGCATCTCTGACCTCTGAGTCATCCTCTGCCTCTGGGTCCCCCTCACCCTCCACATTCTCGTCCAAGATTTCCTTCTCCTGGCTCGGTCCACTCTCGACTGGTACGCGAGCCACCAAAGAATCCACAGTGGCCTTCCCAATGGAGGTGGGGTCACCACCAAGTATCGTGTCCAGCTCTTTGTAGAACTGGCAGCTCGTGGGCTCAGCACACAAGCAGTGGTTTGCCTCCCGCACCTTGTGGTAGGCGTTCTGCAGCTCCTTCACTTTGACCCTGCACTGCAGTGTGTCCCGGTCATGGCCCCTTTCTATCATACATCATGAAATCTGACCGTAGATATCATAATTCCTATGCCTGGAGTGCAGCTGGGACTGCACAGCCTCCTCTCCCCAAATGCTGATGAGGTCCAGCAGCTCGGCATTGCTCCAAGTCGGGGATTGCCTGGTGCGTGGAGAAGGCCTGGCCACCTGGAAAGATGCACTGAGACCACTGCACACGTCACCGAGCAAACAGGAAGGGGACTTTCAAAATTCCCAAGGAATTTAAGGGGTGGGACTGACAGTTGGTCACCTGAAGGCAGGGCAGTACAGTTCAAACCGATGGCCAGAGGGGTGAGAACAGGCATTGTGGGACACCTCCCGGAGGCCAATTGCAGCGCTGTAATCGACCACGGTATCTACACTGGTACGGCAGCGCTGTAGCCCTGGTGCAGAAAGCTCTACACCTCTCGTCTGGGTGGTGTTTTTACAGCGCTGCAACTGCACAGTTTCTGCGCACTAAGTGGCTTGGCAGTGTGTGCCCCTCGGGAGTTACAGCGCAGAAAGCTGCTTCACTGCGCAGAAACTTGCCAGTGTAGACAAGGCCTGACTGGAGAAGCTCTCCTATCAGTGTAGTAGTATCTTCACAGAAGCACTACAGCAGTGCAGCTGCACCGCATGTGTCAAAGTTCCTTCCCCACTCTGAACTCTAGGGTACAGATGTGGGGACCTGCATGAAAACCTCCTAAGCTTATTTTTACCAGCTTAGGTTAAAACTTCCCCAAGGTACTAACTATTTTACCCTTTGCCCTTGGACTTCCACTGCCACCACCAAACGTTTAATGGGGTTTATTTATTAGGAAAGCATTGTTTGGAAACCTCTTTCCCACCAAAATCCTCCCAACCCTTGCACCCCACTTCCTGGGGAAGGTTTGGTAAAAATCCTCACCAATTTGGAGAGGTGACCACAGACCCAAACCTTTGGATCTTAAGAACCATGAAAAAAACATTCAGTTCTTGAAAAGAAGAATTTTAATAGAAGAAACAGTAAAAAAGAATCACCTCTGTAAAATCAGGATGGTAAATATCTCACAGGGTAATTAGATTCAAAACATAGAGAATCCCTCTAGGCAAAACCTTAAGTTACAAAAAGACACACAGGCAGGAATATCCATTCTATTCAGCACAGCTTATTTTCTCAGCCATTTAAAGAAATCAAAATCTAACGCATATCTAGCCATATTACTTACTAAATTCTAAGACTTCATTTCTGTTCTGTCCCCGGCAAAAGCATCACCCAGACAGACACAGACCCTTTGGTTTTCTCCTTCCTCCCAGCTTTTGAAAGTATCTTGTCTCTTCATTGGTCATTTTGGTCAGGTGCTAGCGAGGTTACCTTTAGCTTCTTAACCCTTTACAGGTGAAAGGTTTTTTCCTCTGGCCAGGAGGGATTTTAAAGGTGTTTACCCTTCCCTTTATATTTATGACAGCATGTTAAAGTGTAGACCAGCCCTGAATTGCTGGAGGTTGCTATAGTTTGAGAGTCATGGGTGGCAATTTCATTTGGGGGGAATTTAATGAAAGTCTTTGGGGAAGAAAAACTAGCCATGTGAATGCTTCCTAGGTGGAGAAGGGCATTAGGGGACAGAGGAGTGGGGGACTAGGAGGAAAGGGTTTGGGGGCTGCTGTGAGGGGAGGAGGGGTTTGGGGGAGGGGGGATAAATAGGGGTGGATAGTAAGGAAAGCAAGAGAGGGTGGGGGCTCAGGTGAGGGAGGCATGGTACCCCCCAGCCCCCTATGCCCCAAACTCTGTCAGCATAGCCCAACCTTCCTGTACCCCAACCACCCTGCAGCTCCCATTTATGCCCATACAACCCAATCTTCCTGTAGCTGCAGCTCTTCCAGTGGACCTCAACCTCCCATGCACTCTCAGCTCTGCCAGCATACCCCAACCCCTCCTCCTCCCGGTCTTCCATTTGTAGACCAGGGAGTGAAGACTTCAGAGAGATGTGTGCCCTGCTTGTGGTGGTGGGGGGGATTCATTGAATGTCAGGGGCATGACTGGAGAGGTGTGCTGAAGCAGGGCTGGTGCGGTCCAGCTGATGTGTGGAGGGCCGGGGGGAACAGCTGGCTTTGTATGGTAATTGCGGGGCAGGATACATACAACTGCCTATATGACTACTAACTCCCAACAGCAACATATCTTTTCCCGTTTGAAAAAACAAGAACATTCAACGGCAAAAAGCTAAGTTAGTGAAGAGTCAAAGTTGCTTCGTGTTGCCCCCTTCTTCCCCACCTTGCAGAATGCTGAGTTGAGCAAAACTCAAACTTCTGAAAAACCAGGCAATGTGGAGTTAAGGGTGCCATGCAACCTTAACTCTGCCCTCTTTCAGCAATGCTCCAATGTAATCCATTAACATACATACCATTAGTCAACCAGCTCAGTATAGACATAGCCTCAGGGTAAGGGTGTTATAAGAGTCTGTAAAGTGGTTCTTAAATTGTACACATGTGATATTCTTTCTGGGGAGCTGGCTAAATGTATGAGGGTATCTCAGGATCTGGAACCTGCTGATTTTATAGTGCCAAGGGCCAGTGTGAATATGTGCTATGTGTATATTGAGGCATTGCTGGTAGAGGTTGGAGGGAAGATGGCATGGACAATATTTTTTTCTTTTTGTCCTTTAATAGTGTTATATGGAATCCTGTCGGTGAGAGGGACTGGGTTGTAAAAGGAGGTGAAGAGCTTTCAGTAACTATGGAGTTGGCAGCGTAAAGGTATGTGTGTTAATGCTGAAAGAAGGCAGAGTTAAGGATGCCTGAGCAACCATAACTGTGTATTTCCTGGTTTTCAGAAGTTTGAGTTTTGCTCAACTCAGTGTTCTGTAAGAGGACAACATACCACCAATCACCCTTATCTAGGCATTAACTTTGTTTTTTGCATTTAGAATATAAGTGGTGCAGCAACACTGGCTTAATGACAAGCCATAAATCTGTCCCTTTGAATTCTGATATATGTCTCCCAAGGCAAAGGAAGAACAATAACTGAGCTATTTGATGATGACATCCGGAAAAAATCATACACATGTGCAGCAATTTGAATTAAATGAATAATGAGACTAAGCCTCAATTTGTGCACAAAAATCAGAGCAGAAATGTCTTTTTAAGTATCCAACTGTCCATTTTCACATGCAGTCTATGCCACTTGTGTGCACAATCATGGTAACTGACCTGCATTTTTGCAGAAGGGAGTTCACAAAATTAAAACTTTTTCCAAACATTGTCCTTGTCACAATGATTTTATTAACAGAGAGTAAATAAAGTAAATAAAGGTTGAAAACGCATTATGACTTTTTTGAAATATATAGGACACCTATGAAACATGTAATAGAAGCTTTACGTCAGTTTGTTATAGAAATATGTGAATAATTTGTCTTGTGTGCCTTTAAATAATTGAAACATTCTGCATCATTTGGTAATGAATCTAGACAGTTTCTCTCTATAGTAGCCCTGGGAAAGCAATTATTTAGTCAGACAGGAAGATGTTACTATACCAGTGAGTCCTATCAATTTCATGCAAGATTTCCTCATATTTACAATGCTAATATTGTAAGATTATCATCCTTAAATCTAAATTCTACCCTCAGAGGCATGAACACTCTCCCACTGGCCGTTATGGAGTTGTATGTACTTAATTGAATGAAGATACCGGGCCAGAGTTTTTCACATAGAAGTGCCTGTGCATCGCTAACAACAGCTGAAGGATCCCCATATTTTCCAAGTTTTGCCCCTCACACTCATATACACCTTTGTGTTCCAAATCAAAATGCAGTCACCCTTCTGATCAAGGAGGGCTGGAGAAACCTCTGAAATCCACTCCTTATTTTTCCAGGAGAGTTGGTATTTTGCAATGAGGCACTTCACACCCACTAGGGAATGAGCATGCTGCATCCAAAGTGTCTTTCAACTGAGACACCAAAGCTGAGCTTTGACGGCTTAGTGATACCAGCAGCAGCAGCTGCTTCACCAAATGGGCTGGTCAACAGAATGGTGTAGCCAATCATACAATTTCCCTAGCATGAAGCAGACTTATAGACTGTAACGCAAAAAGGCAATAAACTAAAATCATCACTATGTATAATTTGTACATGCTATATTATTTTGTCTTTGTTTCCCCCTCAGTTCATTTCTGGAAAGGCCTGTAATTTACAAGTGCTGTCTAGCTCTAATTTGCGTTAGGACATTCCACATACAAAAATACAATTTCCAAATATAAGAAACTCCTTTACACAGCGATACACACATTTTGACTGACAAAATTAAACAGAGAAAGAGAGCACAAATGCTGAACATCAGACATGGCACTGCACTGGCATCTTTAGAATTTCTAACCGACTTTCTCTGAATAACAAACCACAAGAGGTTTTCTCCACTGCCTTCAGGTGAGCATAGGTATTACTTTCAGGCAAGGTCACTGGGTCCTTTTGTTGTTCCGTGGGGAATTCTTTATAAGCACTTCAAAAGAAAAGAGTTACAAGAAGTTCCTCTTGGACAGTCGCAGAGCTTCCCAATTCTAGCTCCTTTCCTCACTGCACACTGCTCGCCAGCATCACACTGTAAATAGCAACAAACTCTTAGGCACAGGACAGAACAAAGCAACCGACATGGTCAAGGTCTCAACTCCTGGTTATTTTTACAGCACCCAGAGTGCTGGAGGCACTACATAAATTATTTACTTTCAGCTACTAAAACGTTTATCTCAAAGTTCCTCATTTTTTTTTTTTTTAGAATTGCTTCAGTTTCCATCTGAATTGTTTCGAGACAGCGTGAGAAAAGTGACATTTACAGCGAGAATGTTAAAGACTGAATTTGCCAACAGTGGGAGCCAAACCAAGGTATCTTATGCTGCAGAAATTAAACAGAAGAGTTACCAAAAGCTGATCAGCTCAATGAACTACAAATGTATTTTCCCCGGAGAGAAGCAGCAGCACATTCACTGCTTGAGAAGAGGGCACAGATCCTGATCTCAGTAACAGGGCTGTAAATCTGGAGTGTCTCTAGGGAAGGCACTGGACTTACTCCAGATTGACACCCTTACACCCGTGTATTTGAGATCCGTATCTCCCCCACTGTTATCTTTTAAGTATTTGTCTAATTCAGTCTCATGGTCTAGTCCAATGCTAAGGTGATCCTGAGTTTTCAGATCAATAGCCTCAGTTGAGTTTATCTCGCTGTCCCGATCGTTGTAGCGGGGAGAGCCCATTTTTGGCCTTGGAAACATTTGACAGAACCGGAGGCTTGGCTCGGACCTGAAATCACTCACCATGGGGACTTGGCCGAACTTCTTCTCGTAAACCGGGATCCTTTTACTTTTCAGCTTCGCCAGGACCTCCTGCAGCGCCTCGATCTGCAAACACACAAGCGCTCAGCCCACCAGGGCGCTGCCCTCCGCGCACACAGCGCCGAGCACCGAGCGCCTTAAGGCGGGCGCTCCGCTCCGTTTCCCGGCAGGGCTGTCGTGACACAGAGCTGGAGTCTCCAGCTCTCGGGCCACCTGCAGCCCTGATCCCGCCTGCGGCTGCCTGAAATACCCCCGGCCGCTCGGTACCCAGCGAGGGGGTTCGGGAAGGATCCCAGCCTGGGCTCCCCCAGCCCTCGCCTCCCCGGGAGCCTGGCTCGGCTGAGCTCCCCCCTGGGCGGGCACCTACCAGCTCTTTCTCGTGGGACGTGTCCTCCATGGTGGAGTAGAGGTCCAGGGCGCGAGGCTGCAGCTCCGGCTCCTCCTGGCCGCGGGCGCCGAGGAGCAGCACCAGGGTGGCGCTCAGGAGAGCGACAAGCCGGGCGCTCTCCATGGTGCTGAAGCGCCGCGAAGCCGCCGGGCCCCGACTTTATAGAGCGCGCGGGGGGCGGGGGGAACCTGTTGACAGAGCCCTTGCACCGCGCTACGTCAATGGCCCCCGCCCCGGCAGCGGGAGCCGGTGGGAGAGGCTCCTGGGTGCAGGCAGTGACCTCAGCCTCCAGCAGGGCAGGGACAGGGGGCGGAAGCTTAGGGGCAAGCGAATGAGCCGCTGCCTTAAACAGCAACAAGCGGAATGTGTGCGCGCCAAGGGGCTGGAACCCCCTGAGCTACACGAGTTTCCTGCTGCCCCCTGGAGCCCCGGGGGGATGCGGGGCGGGGGTGGGGGAAGGGAATTGGAGGTTGGATTTTTCCTCAGAAGGAAAATTCAGATTTTTCAAAATAGTTGCCACGGGCCGTGGCAGGCGAAAGCAGCAGTCCCCGTGGTAACTGCTCCGGGCTCCTGCCCACTGGTAGAGGTACCCATGACATGACGGGAAAGCTCTCAGGGAATAATAATACATAAATGCTGCACAGAGCTTGGGTGGTGGTGGTGTGGCTTTTATTCAAACACACTAGTCAAATACGAGTCAACACCTTTATTATTTGGTGAATTCCATCATTGTCTAGGGAATAGCTTGTTCAACCAACGTTTCAAGTATCGACCTTTCTCAACAGTCAATGCAGTTGAATGGATACGTCAACATAAACATAATGCATCCGATGAAGTGAGCTGTAGCTCACGAAAGCTTATGCTCAAATACATTGGTTAGGCTCTAAGGTGCCACAAGTCCTCCTTTTCTTTCTGCGGATACAGACTAACACAGCTGCTACTCTGAAACCTGTCAACATAAAGTTATGTTTTAATATGTTCCTTGTCCCTTAAGCTAACTGCTCACCTCTAGTTTTAGTAATCTAATTTCTAAAATCACATTCCACATAGCAATAGATGAAACATTGAACAGCTGAGCAGCCAGGATAGGAAAAAATAGCAACTGATTAGAGAGAAAAACTAATGCAGCACTTGAAGAGCTCTGTGTAAGCTCCAAAGCTTGTCTGTCTCACCAACAGAAGTTGGTTCAATAAAAGAAATTACCTCACCCACCTTCTGTCTCTCTCTAAGATCCTGAGATGAATGCGGCTACAACTCTGCATAACAATCCTATTTTATCGATAGAGGCACAATGACAATGTCACTGTTGGTGCCCAATTTGAGGCACTTATGACCTGATTTTTCAGAGTACTTAGCATTTTATAACACTTATGTTCAAAGCCAACCCACCTAGTCTTCAGTTACAGCTATGTGCACGCTCAGAGCTTCTGAAAATCAGATTCCAAGGTCTTGAGTTGAACAGTCATAAAACGAGGAACATGCAAAACTGAAAAGTTTTGTTTAAGTGACTTGACTGTCCAGCATCACATCACACTCTGTGGCAGAGGCAGAGATAGAATCCAATTCTCCAGACCAGCATTCAACTGCCTTACCCATAAGACCATCCTTTCTCTTCTTGCAGTCCCTGCATCGTTCACTACATACCTTCTAACTTCCGCAACAAATGAGGCAGGGGCCCTATACACAAATGCCTCCATCACTACTCAACCCTGATTCATCTCCAGAGCATGATCTATCAGTGCACTGAATGAGACAGTGATCCTTTGGAAAAAAATAGTATGTAATCATATAAAGATTGTATCATAATGAATATACACAAGGGGGCCAAACTAAAGTTGCATGAGCAACCTTAATTCAAGCAATTCCTAACTTTTGATTGACTTTGCAACCTTAATCTTTTAGTATAGTTTTGTGTGTGTAATATTGTTAGTGGCCAGAGGCCCCAGTCAGCCTCAGGGCTCCATTTTTGTACAAGTTGCAAGATCACCTAGGAAGACATGTGCAGCAGGCGCCTGGATTAGATGACCTGGCAAGGTCCCTTTCACTCCTATGATTCTATGAGTCTATGTGCCCTGCCACAAGGAGCTCACATTAAGAAAAGAAGCAACATGGTACAGGTGTGGTAGGGGAGAAAGCTACAATTTTATAGGATATTTGCCTTTTTCTGTTTGTTTTTGATGTAGAAATAACTTATAAATAATATATAAATAAATACATAAATACATATCAATAAATACTATTAAATATATATATATATATATATATATATATATATATATATATAAATAATTCCTCTATCCCTGATTGCCTCTCAACACAGTCTTCATTAATTGGCTGACTTCTTGTAGGCCCTGCGGCAGACATGGGGATCAAGAATATGGCTAGTGCCTTGCCTATATCACTTCTGGAAGGGCATTCCCTGCACTAGCGCATCGGCAGTTATATCTTCTAAGAAGGTTTTGTGGGGTTGGGACATTGATGGTTGGTTGGAATCGGAAAGCTAAAGAAGGCCTGGTCTACACTACACAGTTAAGTCCACACAAGGCACCTTATGTCAACCTAACTGTGGATGTGTCGACTCTTAAATTTCACTCCTGCTGACAAATGGCCTGCTATGCCAACTTAATAAGCCACCTCCCCAAATGGCGTAGAGTTAAGGTGGAAGTAGTTAGCTCAACACAGTGCCAGCATAGATACAGAGTTACTTAAATGGACTGTTACTGGCCTGCAGGAGGTGTCTTACAATGCCCCCAACCTGGCCTCTCTGGTCACTGTTGTGAACTCCATTGCCCAGCAGACAGGTGACCAGGGAACCACTCCTCCCCTTTAACGCCCTGCAAATTTTTGAAGTTCTTTTTCCTAATTGCCCAGCTTGGGGAGCACAGCTGACCATGCTGGCTCCACGCTGCAGAAGCACTGCTACTTGGAGTACACAAGAGGTGTTGGATCTCCTCGGCCCGCGGGGAGAAGAGGCCGTGCAGGCACAGCTCCAATCCAGCCATAGAAATGTCAACATCTATGAGCAGATTGCTCAGAGCATGGAGGAGAAAGGCTACAAGAGGGACCAGCAGCAGTGCCACTTAAAAGTCAAGGAGCTGCAGCAGGTGTACCAGAAGGAAAAGGGGACCAACAATCAATCTGATGCAGAGCTGCAGACCTGCTGCGGAGACCTCACCACTGCCCCTAAAATCTCCGTGGATACTTCAGAGGAGCTTGAGTCACAGGCTCTGCACCATGAACAGCAAGGAGGAGGAGTATTGTGCACAGGTGGCCTAGGGGATCCAGATGTGCAGTGAGCCAGGACATGTTTTTGACCCCACCGCAGTCCAGCCAGTCCCATCAATTGAGCACAGGTGAGCCTGATGCTGGGGAAGGATGCAGTTTGCTTTTAAATTACAAGGATAGAACCCTCAAAGTAGCAGGTCACATCTGTTGATTACTGTTTTCACTTGTGCCAGAAGAATTAGTGAAACAACCGAGAGGTACCGTTGCTATCTGCTTTTCTGCAGTTTATGTGCACCAGGATGTCAGGGAATCCTCCATAGAGATCTCGATGAAACTTTCATGGAGGTAGTCTGCAATCCTCTGCCAAAGGTTTCTAGGGAGAGCTGCCTTATTTCTTCTGCCACGGTAGGACACTTCCCATGCCACTAAGCGATTACTTCAGGCAGCACCATTCGAGTATACCTTCTAGCAGTATATGGTCCCAGGAGGCACTGTGACAGCCGCAGCAGCTCTGTCTGTCTCTGTCACCCTCAGGCATGAAATATCAGCTGAAATCACCACTGCCCATGGAAAACGGTGCCTTTATTCAGTTTCTTTGACCTATACACATACACTCATGCCTGTGAGCTATTCCCTTCTCATTTTCCCAATCCCACCCAAGCTGACAACTTGTGTGGATGAAGGGGAGCATGTTCAGTATCCTAAGTTTCAATTTCTGTCATGAATACACTGACTTCTGTTCGATGCAGCATTAGCTGCTGGCATTGTTGCTTTGAGGATCTCCCCCTCCACACCAGTGGAATGCCTGAAACAAATAAGGAGGAGAAAGATGAGGACTTGGGATGACGTGTTCCAGGAGATCCTGCAAGCCAGTGCTGAATCAGAGAGCTAGCATGGGGCTTGGAGGATCACCCTTGCAGACAGCATGGACAAGGATAGAGTGAAGAGGAGAAAGGCACAAGAAAAGGAGAGGGACATGCAGCAGGAAATGCTTGCCCTTCTTGGGCTACAAACAGAAATGCTGCAGACTCTGGTGGACCTGTATGTTCAACAGTCTTGGGTTCACCTCTCTCTGCAGCCCACAGAGAACTCCATATCAGAACCTCCTTGCACCCCACCCCACTCAACCTTCCACATGGCATCAGAGGCTGCTGCACTACTCCCAACCACTCTACCCCAGGGGACATTAAGTGCCCATACACTTACCTATGAAAGATATGGTTGGTGCATGTGCATCTGAAATGGAAATAACTGTTCTTTCCACTTCATAAATTCTCTTCTCTTAGTTCATCAAATTTGATTAAGTTATACATTATTTTTTAATTCCACGGTTACAGAATAAAATCTTATACTTTGAAACATAATTCATCTTTATTAGTTTACAACATATGCTTGCTGGTGCTTAGTAGGTCTAACACCCACCAATTTCCTGTAACTTCATTTTATAAATTCTATGACAACATCATACACAGACAATATTAACTGGTGCATTGGCAATGTTACATTCCTACACACCCCCACACACCACTCACTGCAAGGTTCATATTGGTTTAAAAAAGAGCAAGGCCAGATAGAGCACACTACAGCAACACACACTACTCTGGCTCACTATTAAAATGATATTTCAAAGCCGCCCTGAGCCGTTGAGCTCTTCTTATAGTCCTGGAATCTGGCTGTTCACAATCAGCAGACAGCCAGTGAAATAAAATCCCTGCTTGCAGCTTTCTGAACATCCTGTGTTCTTAAAGATGTGCACATTCGGTACCTACCCTGACCAGCCCACACTGATGTCGGTAAAGCATCCCCAGTGATCCACCAGCGCTTGCATTACGTAGAAAAGTAGCAGTTTCTGTTGATGTACTCTGCAGCAAGGGGGTCTGATGTTAAAATAGAGATATGCATGCCATCTATCACCCCACCGCAATTCAAGAAGCCCATTGCTGCAAAACCATCCACTGTATCCTGCACACTGCCCAGAGTCACAGTCCTGTATAGCAAGAGGTGATTAATGGCCCTGTACACTTGCATCACACCAACCCCAGCAGTCAATTTCCCAACTCCAAATTGA